ACTAATTTAAATGTTTTTCCTCAACCTTGGATTAAAATTTTATTTTTATTAGAAAATGTGTATTGACAGTGGGCTGTAAATAATAATAATTATGATTGTAATTTTATATTTGGTTGTAAAATCTGTGGAGGAGCACACCGATTTGAGTCATCGATGAATTTTTTGCGTGTTAACCTCAACCGTTTGCTTGTTTAGATTTTTAAAATAATTTGGCTTTCACATCCTTCCGACCGTTTCGTCGTCGTCTGTCTCGTTCTCGCACGGGGATGTGCTTACATCTGGACGGCTTTGTAGTCGCGTAGCCATGTGTACGAATCGTCACAAACGGCGTTTGAAATCGGCCGTGGAATTTGCGTGGCGCCACCACTGCCCGCCACCCGCCCCAGAAACCCGCCGGAATGAACCGCTAAAAACGAGTCAATTTAGCTGAAATATCTCATTACTCTGATTTGTATTGAGGCAGATTAATTTTTTTTAATGACAATACCCTTATTAGTGTCTGCTTTATTTGAAAAGCAATTGAATGCATTTGGCAAATGAATCAAATTGGTTACGCTTTGCTGTACAGACAGAGATGGCCCATTAATATTTAAGCACTTTGACAGCGTTAATCACTTTGCTTGAGCGATGCCGGTGCCGCTAAGTGCATTCACTCGTAATTTTCAAAGTGACGTTCTTTTTTTTTTTACCGCTTCACAACACGCACGAACGTGTGTTCCATCTCGTTTATTTAACGATTTAAAGTTGAATTTATATTAACTTTTTTTTTTGAAACAGGTCCCGTTTGTTGCATCCCTGGAGAGGAGTCGCCTGCGTGGGGGGGTGGGGGGGGTACCCTTGCGGGGTGCCGCCCTCCTCCGCAAAGTGGGGGGGGGGGGGGGGGCACCCCGATTGGGCAAGCGGTGTCACGTGACCCGGCGGAATATTGAAAGTGCCATTTGGTGACCCGTGAAGAGGATGAGGGTCAGGGGTGGGAGGATGTGGAAAATAACATTTGTAACCATTTCCCTGAGTAACACACACATTTCACTCAAGCAAATCCTGGCCGGAATGGGGGGAGGGAAAAACATTTGAATGCTTGCGTGAACATTTCCTTTCTACATGTAGATATAAACATGCGTATGGATGTCGCGCGCCGCATTCACGAAACGGTGATCAGGCGGGAGCGCTTAACGAGGAAACGCGGGGAGCTGACGCTTCGGCCTTAAACTCTGAAGCACGAGTCACGAGCCACATTGCGACGCTTCGTTGATCAAAATAAAACATCATATGGATGTAGCGTCGCTGCCCGTCAGGAGCTGGTTCCGAATGAGATTATTCTGGAGGGTGCCCGTCAGATTGTTGGAGATTTGTGAGCACAAAACCGTTCTGATGTGGGGGGGGGGGGGGATTTTTGATACAGGTACTGTAGTCAAATATTTTATTCCCCCCCCCCCGCCGCCCCGCCCCCCTATACGTTGATGGATTTTGAATTTCCATGCAGCCGAGACGTGGAATTGTCGGAGCCACCAAGGGCGAAGTGCCAAGAGCGCAGTTGAGATTTGTTGACCTGAGGAAGGTACAGGGGGCACGGGGGGCCAGATAAAAAAAAATCATTTTCTGGCAGGATATTTGTTTATTGTAAACAATGCGACAAACAGTCGCATCTTTCAATTTTCGTCATGTGGCATTCAACCTCGAAGCACAAGTAGTTATCTTTTTTGTAAAATTGCTCTAAAACAGCAATACCTTAATACTAGTGGTGTACGCGGTGCGCCCGTGTGTGTGTGTGTGTCAAGCGGTAGTGTAGCGGTTAGCGCGCTGCGAACCCGGCGACCCGAGTTCGATTCCCGATTGTGGCAAAACACCACTGAGGATTATCTTAACTGGCCCTGGGATTCCACTAGGTCGACTCAGCCTTAAAATGAGTAGCTGGTGCGATCTGTAGTAAACATCAGCATAGGTGAGATAATGGCCAAGCATTGTGCTGGCCACCCACCCCCTCGTGTGCCATGTAGGCCTTAATAAGTGCTTGCTAACAGCACTTGCACCAGCAGTCTGTTAAAGGCTGTATGGGGGATCTTTGTCTCTGCATGTCAAGCACACCAATTAATTTACATGATTACATTTTTTTGTGTGAACTGTTCCAAGGTCGTCGTGAGAACTTTGTTAACCTCGGGACACAATGTGAAGACAAAGTAATGAAGGATATGTTATTCCATTAATCGGTAGCGAGCTTTCTATCTGCTTTAACGTCACACTCTACGGGAGCGGAATGTTTTGGTTCACCGATGGCAGGGATTGTGTATGATTTTTAATGTTCAGTAGAAGAGGTAAAGCAATATAGAACTTTAGAATAAATTGTTCACACTCCTCTGAACCACGATTTTTTCTAGATACCCAAGTTCCCCCCCAAAATATGTGTCCTGGTTTTAGCGTATGGGTGGAAGGGGGCGCCACAGCGGTTAGCAAACTGCACTACATACCAGAGGTCGCAAACAGGTTTTGATTCCTTACCCATACCCGGCCGCACCAGGGTCGCAAATGGGTACCCCTTACCCGTACCTGGCCGGGTACGGGTACCCGTACGCTACCCGTACCCTACCCGAAATGAGTGACAAACGGTTACTCACCGGTGACTCACGGCCTACCCATACCCGTACCCGGCCGCACCAGGGTCGCAAACGGGTACCCGTACCCGGCCGGGTACGGGTAGCCGGGTATCGGGTAGGGTACAGGTATCGGGTACCCGGTTGCGACCTCTGCTACATACCCAGCGACCTGAGTTCATTTCACGAGCCATGTGGCGAACATCACGGGGGAGTGATAACTGAGCTGGTGCTCGTGATTCGGGAGCTGGTCCTACAGCCCACTCTGACCAACATGGCAAAGCATGGGTCACACAATGCCCGCGGCCAACGCGGCATAGGGAGGCCTTAATCTAGTAGTGCATCGCCATAGTTATTATTAAGCACAAATTCCGATGAGCACGGTTTGCTACTTACGGTGCGAAAGAAGTTCAACATACCGTATATGCATCCTCACACCATACACACACCTTCACCAGCCCGCACTGGCTAGCCTGGTGGTCAAAGCATGGCCAAAGGAACCCTGCTTGGTGTGTCTGCAGGAGCACGCAGGGGAGGGGAAAGGCCGTCGTTCAGCAGTGTGTCGGCAAGCAGGCTGCCCCATACGTATGTCTTCATATTTTACCGTTAATTTCTTTTCAGCAGATTGTCTGCCCCGACTGTGTTGAAAGTAGAAGGGAGGAAAAAAGAATCCCCGTAATCCGCGGTCTATTTAATTGCAGGCTTGACTGTTGTTTTTCCTCCGTGAAGCCATATGGCACCCGGCGAGCTCGCAACTAGAGAAAGTTCCGCGGCAGGCTTGATGAATATGTATTGAGCCGAAATGCGTTATTAAAACTCACAGATGTTTGATTAATGAAATTGTTTTATATATAATGCCAGATTTAATGCAGTCACACGAATTTGAAGTTGCAGCTTGGATTGGTCGGGGGCAGCCATTGCCACACGTGATTGAATTGTCAAAACGTTTCCACCTTGCCCGCCCGCCCCCCCCCCCCCCCCCCCGAAAAAACAAAACCCGCGCGGTGTAAATCTTTTGCTCTTTTTACAAAATGAAGTAAAAATGGAAGACTTTTTTTTCATCCATCCGTATTTAGTATTTTTTGCTCCGCAAAATTGTTGCGGGTATTTGTGGCGCGTTTTAGGAAGCGGTGGTGGTACGATGTCTGTGGTGGAGTGGGTAGTTCTTAGCGGTTAGCACGCGCTGCGCTACGAACCCGCCCAACTGAGTTCGATTCCCGCTGGTGGCCAACACCATTGACGATTCCCCAGCTTGCCTTTGTCACTGGGGAGACGGAGGTGGTCGGGCGTGGTGCTGGCCCACCTGCCCTCTTGTGTGGCGTGCTGACCATCAAAGGTGCCCGCTAATAGCACGTGCCCCAAAAATCTGTCAAGGCTATACGGGGATATCATTGGCATGATGCCAATAGTCAGTTTAGGTTAAACACTTCCCACGCTATGTCGGTCTTAGCGATCGTTCGATCATGCTGCATCACGCTAGTCAGTGGCACGCAGGGAGCATGGATGTGGGAGTATAGTACAGTACAACCATGGGTTTGGATGCACTGCCCCGCCAGGTAGTGGCTGCAGCAGCCCCTTAAAACCATGCATGGTGGTCGCTCTTCAAGGAACCTGTCCGGACTCAACACTGCCTTAGCTTGCAAGATTCAACCAGATAATTGCACCCCCCCCCCCCATTGAACACCCTACCACTCGCATTGCCATGTTCCCCTTCATAAAACGCTGCAGTCCTTGTTACCATGCAGTCTAATCATAATCCTCACCACAAAACGGAACATTTAAACAAACGGCACAGGTTTTAATTCGCGGTGTGGGTGCGACGTTTGCACTCAACAAAGAAGATGATGACGACGATTGTTATTTTCACGCGTAAATCGTTTCCAGAAAACGGCAAACTCTGCGGCAAAAGAGCTGTAAGCAGATTACGGGCCGAGTAGAATTTAATCCATCTTACCGTGCAAAAATTAATCACGGGCAAAACACTCATCAGCTTTCTGGGCTTTTAAACGCCTCGCTGCGACTGCCTTGAATTCGTCACCGGTCAACGCGCGGGGTGTTGGTGGCTCACCAGACCCGCGCGCATTTTCTTTTTCCTTTCACCTTGCAGCTCGTTAGGATTCATTGCATAGCTTTGTGAATTTATCTATTTGTTTGCATTTACGCCCCACGGTTACCCGTTCACAAGCCCCGTGACGTGACTTTTGAGTGAGGCTGATGTTTTTTTTTCTCGTGTTGAAGCTTGATACTGAATTACGCGCCGGCCTAAATGTTTTAAGGAGAATCGTTGTCGGTAGTAATTAGATGTAAAAGTTAATTCGTTTTTTTTTTTGTCCGTTCTCTGCTCTCGCTCTCTGTCTGTCTCTCTCTCTCCCTCCCCCGTTACCCCTCTCCTCCCTCTCATCCATTCTCTAGCTGGCTCTTGGGAGATTCCCGTACCCGCAGGTAAGATTGTTCATTATGTCTGAAAATTAGCTGCTGCTGCAGCACAGACACCGCCCCCCTCTCTCTTTCCCTCTGCTGCCCACCCCCCACCCCCCCCAAAAAAAAGGGAATAGGAAAAAACATTCCCTGCGATTTCACATCTGGCATATTTAATATTCTGCTCCATGTAAAAGATAAGCCTTTTGTTTATTAGTGACGTTTTGTTGCTTTTAAATACAATTGCCAAACAGGGTATTGTGCGAGCGATCGCACGCTGCCTGGGGATCGTTGGAGTCGGTGGTGTGGTGGTTAGCCGTGACCCCGGCGACCTGGGTTTGATTCCCCGCAGCGGGCAACATCGGTGATGGGCTGTATCGGACTCTGTCCGGGGCCTCCCCTCGGTCAACTCGCCCCTTAATGAGTCACCGTTGTCATGTATGTACAGGAGCAATGGGGAGACAAACCCAGCTGGGTTTGAATCAGAATCTTTATTCATCTTCATGTGTTGCAGTTAATGCGTAGTACTGTAGTCCGAGTGACCTGGATTCAATTCATACCCATGATGTACAACACCGGCACCACGCTGGAATTTAATACTCAAACCTGTTCCGAATCTCCCAAGCCGAAAGTGAATATCTGGTGTGGTGCGCAAACATTATCAATGCGGAGACAAAGGCAAGCCGGGTGTGGTGCTGACCACATCACTCTTATTTTGTGCTGCATTTGACTTGATAGATGTTCACGAACAGCACTTAGCGCATCGGTCTCCAGTTAAATTGGGAGGGGGGCGGGGGGTTGCCAATGCTACGTACACACACACACAGGCATGTCAAATCGATTTCCGACTTTTGTCCTAATGTTGAGCGCTCTTCGAGGGAGCCACTGGCTTGTTGTACCTCTATTATTGCTTCCCATAACATTCAGGTCACCACCGTAAGAGATAGTCAGACATTTAGATGCAGTATAAAACACAGGGTGCATAATTCTATTATTTCGACCCATGTCTAAAAATGAAGGTCTCTCGTTTGAGAACTTCTACCAAAGATCAGTTGCGAATTGTAGTTTAATTAAATTGCACGGCGCACGCTTTGGCTTCGCACGGCTTTGTAAGTCTTTATTTATTTTATTGTGGTGACGGTGGGGCAGGGAGGGGGGGGGGCGTCACGCTCGCCTGCACGCCGTCTTTGCCCGTAGAGCGCGCGGCACTATCGAGGCGCGCGCGCGCGGTGTCTCTTCCCCTGCTCTCTGTAACGTAACGCCGCTCCAGATGATATGTCTGGGGGGGGGGGTGCCTTTACCTGGGGGGGACGGTAACAAATGGGTCACGTTGGGAACCCAAACAACTGTAAAAAAAAACAATTTAGCCGTCACATCTGCCACCGCTCGCGCATACCGGCGCAAGGGCTCCGAGAGACCCCAGGCTCCGTGTTCTTTCTCTCTCTCTGTTGCCCAGCAGCCCCCCCCTCCCCCCAAACTCCCAACCATTTTCACATCCCCTTCTCCCCCCCCCCGCCTCACGATCGCCCCATCTCGCCCCCTATTTCTTTCTTTCCTCCCGCAACCTCCCCTCTCCCCTCGGCACTGTGCCCCCCCGCCCCCCCAGCACCGCAATCTCTCGGCCGGTCTCGCTCCGATTGGTGAAGCGCCACGGCCGCGTGCTCGCGCGCTCACGCGCTCGCTCGCTCGCTCGCCCGCCCGCTCCGCTCGCCTGTTCCCTCTCGCTCACACGGGGCGATGCTCATTTTTATCCCATCCTCCCGCTGTTCTGTGAGTGGCCACCTGTCGTAGGCCTTTTTACTTAGCGATTCGATTGACCTTTAGCTGTGTGACATCACTGATTATGCCTGAACTGCAGATGCATGCTGGGATTGCTGAGCAGCGGAGGCTACCGCCACCCACTACGCCGCTACGCAACCCCCTCTCCCTCCGTGTGCCCCCCACCGCTACGCCAAATACCACCGTCACCGCTTTACCACACCGTACCGCGCCCTCCCCCCCCACACCGACTTCTACTCCCACCCTTCTTGTCTCCTCCGTCGCCATCTCTCTGTCGATCCCCCCCCCCCCCCGCCCCCCGTCGCTCTCGCTCCATTCCTACACCTCATCTCATTTCCTCCCCTCCGTCCTGCGTCGACAAAACGTGAAGCGACGGTGTCCAGGCGCGAATCGCAACTAAAACTCCCAAGTTCAGTCTTAATCATCGAGATGTGAAAATGACGCGCGGAGCAAATATGGTAATGATTTGCTTTTCGTAGAGTTTTCATTCTTCTCCAATCACACGCCCCCCCCCTCCCCCGCCGGGTAACCTCCCCATCACCCCTCCTCCTCGCCGCCCCCACCAACCAACCCCGCCTTTAACACGGCTCTTAAATTAAGTCTAAATTATAATTAAAGTTTCGTAGCATTAAGTGCCAGCCAAAATGAAAAGTTCTCACTGCTCAGGCCAGGAACAGCATGATGCATATTAGTCTATATTTAATAACCTCATTAGATGCTGTGCACCAGCCCACCCCTCGCTTTAAATACTTCCCAATAATTATGATTCCAAAGGGGGGGGGGGGGGGCAGAGAGATGACTTCCCGAGAAAATTGCAACCGCAATAAGCCGCGCGGGCCGTTAATAACCGTCTCCGTTACAATATGGACATAAAAGGGACGATCTTTTTTTTCCGGCTGTGCCGAAGCCCAAAACCACCTGAGCAGCCCCGCTCTCTCGGCCGCCAGTAGTAATTAACCTCGTTAGCGGAAAGGAGGAGAGGCCCGAGTGGGGGGGTGGGGTGGGGGGGATGGGGGAGAATCGCTCGCTCCACAAAAAAACCATGGGGGGCTTGGACGTGGAGGAAGCAAAAATCCCACGTGCGATCACGTTAGTGGTTCTCGGCAGGGAGGCACATTTGACCTTTGACTTTAGCAGTGACGAGCCAGCGGAGGTGGCCGGCTGGCTGGCTCAGCAGTCGCCAGCGCTGCGCTCGTGCGCATTGAAGGGGCCACTCTGAAGTGGCCTCCGAAGTAGATCTGCGACGTCATTTTCCGGAGCGGTTCCCCAACACTGAAGCATTTAACCGACGGCAGAATGACAATTGCGCACCGCTGAGTTCCTGGCATCCACTCTGAGCTGTGGCCAGCAGAGAGTAAACAAGGTTCCCGTGGCCTGCTGGTCAGTGGTCCCAGAAGGGTCTCCAATAACTGCACATATTGAACTGGGTTTTCACTTAATGTCGCGTTGCCCAACGGGACAGAATAACGTTTAAACCTGGATGATTGGCCACGAGCCGGACTACCCAACACTGAGCGCCGCCCAGTGTTGGGTGAGAGGGGCCTGATTGAAGCGAGCCGTGCAGTAGTTCTGAGGTGCCGTCTTTCTGAACCGTTCCTAAAACGTCGGTCGGGTTCAAGGTCGTAGTTTTGTGTGACGACGAAATCACGCCAACAGTCGCAACCGATGTGCAGTTGGTGTTGAGAGACGGAAAAAAAACGCGCGAACGTGCGTCGTTCGACGAATTTGTTCTGTCCGGCGGTGGCGCAAGTGGCTCGTTCACCTTGCAGCGAAATTTGCGACCTTCCCAGCGAACGGCTAACGGTCCAGTGGCGAGGGAAATCTTAACTGGTCCTGGGCACGCCCCCTCCCTCCCTTCAACGACAATCGCTGACCGTCCTGCTAAAGCACGGCCAGACAGCCATCGCGACCAACCAGGGCATGGTGTGAGGCCTTCATCCAGCAGTGGATCGACAAAGGTTCATACATTCTCATTATTTTATCAAGGGAAGCGGCACGGGGTTGGTGCTACCGTCGTCACACTCATTATCAACGGGAGAAGCCACCTCTAGGAACCTTGGCGACCACCTTGGCCCTGTCCTTGTTTGCCACTGGTGCTGCCGGTGCTGCTGCTGCTACCATGGGGAAACTGCCGGCTGTTCCGCTGGTGTCGGGCGTTGTGCGTGTGTGCGTGTACGTATGTGTACACGTGTTTGTGGGGAGCAGCGGTTAATGCCGCTGCGCTTCGAACCCGATTCCCACTCACCCCCAACACCGGTGCTGATTATCTGCACCGGTCCTGGGCCTTCCCTAGGTCGACTCAGCCTCAAATGAGTACCTGGTGCGGTGTGCAAACATCGCCACTCAGGAGACAAAGGCGGCCGGGCGTGGTGCTGGCCACCCACCCCCTCGTGTGCCACAGTGCCGGCCTTCATAGGTGCTCGCTGTCGACACTTGCCCCAAAAGTACGTTGAGGCTACACGGGGAATATTTGTCTTTATATATTCGTATGTAGGTAAAATTCCTGCGCCCGTGCGATCGTGCCCTTTACCTCAGCGTGTTTGTTTATTCTCGCCTGGTATTTGTGTTTTTTTTTCTTTGTTCGAATGCTGTGGAAACTCTTTAAGTTTAAGTCAAGCCGAAAAAAAGCAAAGCGTTTATTAAACTGACTGAACCATAGTAAGAGGCACAAAAAATGTCACGCCATGCATGATTTGTGAAAGGTGCATGTATGCAGGATTCCGTGCTTGGCCTGCATTACATTTCCCTCTCTTGGCCTAGTTTCACGTTTTTCTGTGTGACCCCCATTCAAAGGAGAAAAAGACAAAGCGCTATAAATTCACCGGCCTGGTGGCTCAGCCCGAGAGCGAGCGGCTTGCAAGTCCGAGTTCAAACCCTGGTTTGCGGGGGGGGGGTTGACTCGGCCCATCATCTTCATAGGGTAGATAAGCACGAGAACTACTGTGTGGGCAAATGTGATCAGACCTGTTTTGTTATTCTTTAAAGAGAAATGTGATGCAAGTGCAGAGTGTGCCGAATATATATTTTTTTATAGGACCCTCCTGGAAAAAAAAACACCTTGGTACTTTGCGAGGCTAATCAATAGCTGAGTAATGGCTATTATCAAGTATTATGATTGATAGCATAAAACTGCAGAAAAGCTATAGAAAATTTCACCTCGTAATTCCAACGTAGAAAACGTGCACCCTTAGCAGTTGGAGTTTGTTCAGCTCACCTGCAGCCCAAATGCGGGATTTCATGTCTGTGTCGCGCGACTCCCAAACGCCAATTGGTGACATTTGCGCCGCGAGCTGATTGCCGGTAACGACAGCGACCGGCTGCCAGTTTCATTTGAGGTTCATCGGCGTCCTGCGCAGCGTTTCTCCTGGCACCGGCATCGTCGGCCACCATCTATCCAGGGCTGGCTGAAGGTTCTCACGGCTCACGCGAGACCCACGCCCACCTCTGCCAGCGCCCACCTCTACACCACCGCGCAGCCCCTAATTCCGCTCACAAAGAGCGGTACGTGACAGATGGCTATGGCATTTAACTTAGTTTTTGTTTGCAAATTTAGTTTTTTATCCACGTCTCTTTATTGGTCCCCTCTCAAGCCCTCCCTCCCTCCCTCTCGACGACGCCACGGGAAGTTTTTTCTCCGCCGCGCGATAATCCCTCGCTCGCTCTCCGCCCGTCGCACATCTTCTCGCGTTGCAGACGCCAGAGTAGCGCTCGTTACGGTTCAATTTGCCGTGGGGGCGCGGACGTGCCCCCCCATCAATCCCCCTCCGCCCCCCTCGCCCCCCACCACTCTTAGCCGCCCCCCCCTCCCCCCCCCCACCGCCAGCCCCATCTCAAGCTCCCTGCCGCTCATGCCGTGTTCCGTGATGCATCTGATTATCCCGCACGTCGTATTTCTCGCGGATTCGTCCTGCCCGACCCCCCCCCTTCCCCGCCCCTCACTGCGTGGCGGGTAAAGAGCGATAAACATTTGTGTGTTTTCATTATGTAAATGGGCTTAACATATGCCTGTGTGTGGCCTGGAGCGGCCGGGTAATGGGTGAGCTTTGCCTCTTCTTCACCCTCCTCCCCCTCCTGCCGCTTTCTCTCTCTCGCACTCTCTCCCATCTCCCTCCCTCGCTCGCTCGCTCGCTCTCTGGCTCCCAAGCCTCTCGGCTGTTGCTTGTTTGCGCGTCCCCTTCCCCCCCCCCCCCCCCCCGTCCCATCTGTCTCGTCCCGGTGCTTTGTTGTGCCACCTCTTCCTCACACCTGTCACCCTCGCGCGCACACCGCAGCAACCGCAGCAACCGCAGCAACCGCAGCAGCAGTAGCCTCGCTCCGGTTCCTGCCCCAACGCTCGCCACTCCCCGCGTTCCTCCTCCCCCCGAACTCTTCCCGCTGCCAGACTTTGATGGGCCCGCCCCGAGCGGACGTACCGTGGAGGAGAAGAGCTTCGTGGATCATCGGATTTCTCCAGGAAGAATAACGATTCTGATTAAGCCGAAATTGTAAATCCTTCTTCAGCGGCGTTTTTCATGTTGTTGTTGTTATTGTTGTTGGTACAAAGCCAGTGTTTTGCCCCGCTGCACAGGTGTATGACCCGCGCCAGCGAATAAACGAGAGCTGGCCGCGGTTGTTGTTGTTGTCTGCTTGCGCCGCTCTGTTCAATCGCTAATCGTCTCTTCTCTTTCACACTTTGTTCCCGTTCCACACGGTTATTTCCAGATCCAGAAGAATCAGGGTTCATTAATGGTAAGGATCTCGATGCCATGTTGTACATTCCTTGTGTGTGTGTGTGTTGCTTTATATATACAAAAAAAAAAGGAAATAAATAATGAAATTTAAAAATCTCAATTTCCCACACCCGTTGGCGATTCGTTAGCATGCCTGAATGCCCAGCCTTAAACGGGCGAGCGTTTCTGGGAGGAATTGCATGGCGGTTACAGTTTTATTGAACAACGGGGTGTTACGCCCAGAAGTGATCATTACGTCTCTGCTAAATGGGGCGCGGGTTTCATACTCCGGGGTAAAAAATGTGCGGGGATGAAATTTTGATTAATTCTGCTGATTGGATTTTACACTATCCCAGCTCTGTAATCTTTAATGATGTCACCACGCAGCCACTAAATCCTGTTCATTGATCGTTTTATATTCTGTTTTTGTAACCTGGCCCTCTCTCCCGTCGTCCGCCCTGATGTTTTATTTTTATGCCTCTATTCCGCAGCCGTTGCAGCTGCTGCAATGCATTGTGGTTGAGGTGAGTCTGCGTGCCGGTAACCCACCGGTGTTTGCCACCGGTAACCCGCCGGTATTTACCGACTCCGCACAAACACCGCCCGGGCGGTTCCCTCATCGCCGCCGCACGGAGCGTTACACAAAACTCTGGGCACGATCAAAACGCTGCATTTTTTGTTACCGCAAAGAAATTCGACTTTTCTGCGCAAGCCCCCTCGCCGCGTCCTGGCGAAAATGAACTAACTCGCCGCCTACGTGGGGTTACGCGTACTCCCAATTAAAGTAAAATCTCGCGCTTGAAGCAAGCGCGGCGAAGCGCCGGGTCACGATCGCGGGGAACCGACGGACGGACGGACGGATGGACGGACGGTTGGGCGGTCGGACGGACGGTCGTTCGCTGCCCCAGCGGCGGGCTTGAAATTAAGCCGGTGGGTCGGCCGGCGAGGGTTTTAACGGCCGCTCGCCGAGCTGTAAAGAAGATGCGCCGCGCCGCGTGTTTGCGCGGAAGCGCCCCGGCACGCGGCCGATCGGGGGCTCGGCATCCGTCGCTAACGGTGGGCGGTGCGCGCTCGCCCCCGTGGCTGCGGGCCATTTTCGAGTTGACAAGCAGTATTTTGAGGTCAGACAGTCCATTAAGAAACAGTTAATGAAGAGAGCACAGGAAGGCTCGGGCGGGAGAAGGGAGAGAGAGAGAGAGAGATGGGGTGGGGGGGGGCTGAGGGGTGGGGTTGGGGGGGAGCGAATGAGCGAGAAAAGAAATACGTTTCCTTTCACCCCGGCCCCTGCTTAATGACGCTGGGAGAACGTGATGGATGGCCACGTGTTTTTGCCGCAACATCGCTCTTTGGCGGAGTTTTGTGTCTGAAATGCGGGGTGCGCGATCGCGCGCTAGCCCAGCAACGTCGGGGCCCCTCGTACAGGACAAATGCGGGGGGGGAGGGGGGGGGTTCATATAAATCATCGCTCTCGGACTTGGTGTGCACGCTCGTACGCACGCACGCACACACGCAGCGGTAGCAGTCATAAATAACGTACAGCCACATGTCAAGCCACTGCTGGATGAAGGCCTTCCACACGCCGAGCGGGTCGTAGGAGTTGTTGGACCATACTTCACCACGCTGGTCGGCGTGAGTTGGCGAAGAGGAGGGCCCCCGTGACTGCAAGGATTCATATTCTTGGGGTTTTTTCGGTAAAGTCACAGTGTAGGTAAAAAATTCTAATTAATAAAAGTAAAAAAAACGTCGTGATTTTTATTTTATTTTTATTTTATTAATTTTTATCTTTTACCTACGTGACTTTACCGAAAAAACCCAAGAAGAGGAGGGCCCCCGTACGATCGTGATGTAACTCGCCACTGATGTTATTAGTGGTTAGGAATCACACTGAGGTTTCTGGCTTCGTGGCGACGTAATGAGGAGTGTTACACGGCCTCGGTCAGAATGGGTCCCATCGCACGCAGTCAGAGGAGATCTGAACCTCGTTCGACGCCACACTGATCTGGTCAGTTTTTATTGTTTAGTAAATTTGATTTGATGTTGGCATTAATACATTGCGATTGACAGATCGTGCTCACTGTCAAACCCTGTTAACTAACAACCGAAAAGGAAAGTTGATCAAAACACTTTCAAAGATGGTCCAATCATTTGGTCAGGATGTAATCCAATCGATTTGAACTGAACATCTTTAAGATGAATGCTGATCCAAACATACATTGTCTCATAATTAATATTCTATTTTGCACTCACTTGCAGATGTTTAACAAGAAACGCAGCAGTCGATAGATCATAACTGGTGACGATGATTGTGATGATGAAACACACATAGGGAGTAGCGGTGGTGAGCACGCTGCGCTATGAACCTGGCAACCTGAGTTCTATTCCTGGTTAAGACCAACGTTAACAGCCGGTATTCTCTGCAGTGGTGTTTCTGCGCCCCTCTCTTCGCCAACCCTCGCTGACCAATGTGATGAAGTGTGGTCACACAACCCCCGTGACGACACCGTGCGTGGAGGCCTTCATCCAGCAGTGGATTGACGAAGCGGCCGTCGGTTATTTCAGTGTAAACACAAACGATGCGATTGTGTTCATTTTTTTGTCCTTCCCCCGCACCTCCGATTAGCGCGGTCGGCTTACGTATGGTGCGAAAGAAGTTCAACGTACGTGCGTACAGACACGGATCGGGTGCCCCGTGAGCTCCGCGACAGCTCTAGTAGTTTGTGCACGGCACTACATTCCCGGTGACCTGGGTTCAGCTGCTGTCCTCGGCGGAAACTGGTTTCCGAACTTCCACCGAGCCTTCCTTAGGTCAGCTCCGCCCGGACGCGGTTACGTTGTGCGATGCACCAACAACAAACCGCGGAGAGACGAAGGCGCATTGCTCCGGCCTGAATAGACGCTCGCTTCCAGAGTCTAATAGGGGTAAGTGGGGGCACCTTTGTCTCTCTTCTGCATCTCTGCCGAAGAAGGTTGCGGGTTCCGTCTCTCTGACGAAAGCGGCCGTGGGGGGCAAGAGCCGCCGCTTGCTCGCGTGAGCGTTTCCTGAACGGCGCGCGGTGCCGAGCGCGCGACGTCATACAGCGGGGATCGTATGCTTTGGGCACCGCCGAGAAGTCCATTCCTGGGAATTGACACGACTTATATGCCTCTCTCCGCCGGGCCCGCCGTTGAAGCCGGGCATAACCCCGCATCGACGGCACCGCGGCCTGCGTCTCGGCGTCTGGTCTGGCGTCGTCTAAAAACGAGGACAGGAGGAGCGCGTGCGCGCTACGTGCGTTGAAGGCAAAAAGGTGGAGCCCTGCACTTGCTTGCTCGTACCATTGTTGACGGAAATGGCATCCGCTAGAGGGTGTTTTTGCCTACACTTCCATGCTTGCCAGATATTTTGGAAGAGCCGGGAGTACGCACAAATTACTCCACCGCTTGTAACCGACTTCCTGATGGCCTTGGCTGTGGTGTGTAGCCGATGAATGTGGTAGATTTAAGAAATTTGCTGATTGTTTCAACGACTTCACCGGGAGATCAGATGCAACCGGCAACTTTCGGGATCTGCAAGTCCTCCCGCGCGAGCCGTTATGCCGAGGCAGCCACCTAATCGACGTGAGCGGAACATGGTTAGGTGCGCGCTTCGATGTGAAGGATGGGGGGGCCTAATTTCTCGACGAATATTTGACATTTCGCAGGGAAACCAAAGTTAGGTGGCAAATTACTTCTTTTGCACCGTACGTAGCCAACCGTGCTAAACGGAGGTGCGGGGGAAGGACAACAAACTAAACACGAAAAAGCAGTTAGAAAGAAATGAGTTTTCAATCTAGATTGTGCATAGCTCCAGTGCCTTCCTAATATCTAAAGGAAGAGTATTCCAGATGGCCGCAGAAGCGCATCCGAAAGTGCGTAATGACGTGAGCGTCTTTGTTCGATGGGCCAGCCAAAAGCCGCTGCGAGTTTGACCTAGCAGGCAAGAGAGGTGGTGCTGGATGGGGTGCCATGGTGGCGAGATGTTAATGACCTCGCCTAGTATGCAGGAGGTCGTGGGTTCTATCCTGACCCTGACAATGCCTGTATATCTGGGGAATGTGTGTGTCTCTCCCCGTGGTCGTGTGGATTTTTCTCTAGGTCCTTTGAATTTTCTCTCCACGTTTAGAATCAACGTGCGTTTAGAGTATGTTTGGCTGCTCTAAACTTCCGCATGATAAGGCACTTCGTTGAGCTGTCATTTGTGGCCAGGTCACTTCTGAAAGAGAACCATACAGCTCAGTGGGCCTTACTTGGTAAAGGAAAAAATGTTTAGTCTTAGTTTAGTAGTTTTCGCGGCGTGGCGGCTCCGGGAATATTTTAAAATATTTTCCGGGCAGCGGCCGATCTACACATCGGATTCCAGCGTTCTCGCCGTTAACCCCACGGCAGCATCCACGCGTCCGCTCGCCGCGCACGTGTAGCTGCGGTACAGGCATATAAAACCACTGCCCCCGCCGCCCCACCAGATTAAAAGAACGAAAATCCATGACTGCTCCCTCCTCGGGCCTGGCGCCCGCCCACGTGCTGCACGGCGGATAAACTCTCGACAACTCGCGACTTGTTTCTGCGAGCGCCCGCGGTGGCTGCGACGGCGGCGGCCCTGCGAATGGCACCCGCGAGAGTCGCGGAGGCTCAGATTGTTTGATTATTTATGGAGCGGGGGGGGGGAGGCCCTGCCCGTGCCGTGCTGTCCGACCGCTCTCTGTCCCGGGGCTAGAGAGGCGATCGACCGCTGCGGGGACGAATGACCGCTATCGGCGAGAGGAGCCGAGCGGCTGGGGAGCAGTTTCCCCTCCACACCGTTTTCCAGGGGAGCCACCGTAATTAAAGCTAGCGCGGAGAAATACGGAGCCTGCCACCCTGGACGTGTAAACAGCGATGGCTTTTAGCGTTGTGTTGGCCAGAGTGACAATCGGGAAGGGACGGTTTATTTCTGTTTTTTTGTCAGCGCTGCCGTGGTGGTTTATACGTAGTCCCGACGCTCACGCGTTGATGGGGTTAGTGGATCGTGCCGAGATCGAGTGCGTACGCGAGTGCCTGTGTGAGTGCCTTTGTTGGGGAGCGGTAGTTGTAGCGGTTAGCGCGTTGCGCTACGAACCCGGCGACCCGAGTTAGATTCCCGCTCATGGCCAACACCAGTGACGATTATTTGTACCAGTTCTGGGCCTCCCCGAGGTCGACTTAGCCTTAAAATTAGTACCTTGTGCGGTGTGTATACATCGCCACTGGGGGAGACAAAGGCGGCCGGGCGTGGTGCTGACCACCCACCCCCTCGTGTGCCGTGCCGGCCTTCATAGGTGCTACTCGCTAACAGCACTTGCCCCAACAGTCTGTTAAGGCTACACGGGGGGATCTTTGCCTTTAATGGCCTTTGTAGGCGCTTGGTGACAGCACTTTCGACAAAAGTCCATAAGGTTACACGGGGGATCCTTGTTGTTCAGCCTGCCTATGTGGGGGTGTGTGCGCGTATGCCTCATGAGCTGATCGCGGCAGACTATGTAGGCTGCAC